CCACTTATTAACTGTGTCACCATGAACAAGTCACTGAGACTCAGGTCCTTCATCTGAGAAATACTTGAACTTACTACCTTATATGTCTATTAGGAAAAAGCACTTTCTCTTTGACCCAGCAATAGCACTTCTAGGGCTATATCCCAAAGAGAACATACAAATGGGAAAGGGACCCACATGTACAAAAATATTTATAGCAGCTCTTTTTGTGGTGGCAAAGAATTGGAAATTGAGAGGATGCCTGTCAATTGCGGAATGACTGAACAAGTTGTGGTATATGAATGTAATGGAATACTATTGTGCTATAAGAAATGATGAAAAGGCTGACTTCAGAAAAACCTGGAAAGACTTGTATGGTCTGATGCTGAGTGAAGTGAGCAGAACCAGGAGAACGTTGTACACAGTAACAGCCACACTGTGTGATGACTAACTTTGATAGACTTAGCCCTTCTCAGCAATGCAAGGATCTAAGACACCTCCAAAGGCCTCATGATGGAAAATGCTGTCCACATCCAAAGAAAGAACTATGGAGTTTGAATGCAGAGCAAAGCATACTATTTGCTATTTTTTTTTTCTGTTGTCTTTTGTTTCCTCTTTCTGGTGGTTCCTCCTATTGGTTCTAATTCTTACAACATCACTAATGTGAAAATATGTTTAATAGGAATGTATATGTATAGCCTATATCAGATTGTATGCCCTCTCGGGGAGGGAGGTATAGAGGGAGGGGGAGAAAAATTTAAAACTCAAAAGCTTATAGAAGTGATTGTTGATCAATCAAAATAAATTAATTTTAAAAAGAGTTAAAAAAAGAAAAAGCACTTTCTCAGATTTAAAGAACTATATAAATGGGAGTTATTAAAACTATTTGACAAGATAGTATTTCTGTTATTCTCATATTTTTAATTACTCTGGGTCATGCAATTCTTTGAAGAAATGAACAGACATTATTGAGAAGAGATACTTGGCTGTGGAACTGTGAACTGATCCAACCATTTTGGAGAGAAATCTGGAATTATGTCCAAAGAGTTATATAAAACTGTGTATATCCTTTGACCCAGAAATACCACTATTAGGTCTATTTCCCAAGATGATCAGGAAAAAAGTAAAGAATTTATATGTTCTAAAATATTTATAGCAACTGTCTTTGCTATACTGGAAGCTGAGGGGATGCTCATCAATTGGAGAATGACTAAACAAGTTGTGGTATATGATTGTGATGGAAAACTACTATGCTGTAAGAAATGATGGGCAGGTTGATTTTAGAAAAAACCTTGAAAGATTTGCATGAAATAATGAAGTGTGAAATGAGCAGAACCAAGAGAACACATTGTATTGCAGTAACATGCTTTGTTCTAAGAACAATTTTGAATGACTAAGTTATTCTGAGTATTATAAATACTCAAATCAACTACAAAGGACCTCTGAAGGAAATTGCTATGTGCCTCCAGAGAAAGAACTGATAAACAGAAGTTTGCATAGTATGGTTTTACATATGTCTATATCTATATTTGTGTCAAATGGTGGCCTATAGTGCAAAGTGGGAAGGCAGGGTGACAGTTCAGAGCTTAAAATGTAACAATAAATAAAATTAAATAAAAAAGAGAGAGATACTTGACTCCTTGGTTGAATTTGCATGTATTAGATAGGGCTTTGCCTGAATTCCATAGAACTGAGGTTCAGTTAATTGGGTGAGAGGTATGTGGCTGAACTCTATTCCATTGGGTTAAAGAGCTATGTATAACTGATCTCCATCCCATTAGGTTGAGAGGGTTGTGTATGTAACTGACCTCCATTCTAAAGGGTATGTGTGTATAAGTGAGCTCCTGAGGTGGGTATGACTAAGCCGGTTCATTGAGAGGTATGTGTCATTGAGCTTCCATCTCATTGAGTAAGAAGTGGGTGTGACTGAATTCTATTCCATTGGGTGAGAGAACTGTGTTTATAACTGAGCTCCATTCCATTGGGTAAGAGGGTGTGTGTGTGACTAAGTTCCATTCCTTTGCCCCAATGGTGTATGAACTCGATTCCAGTAGGCTCAACTGAAATGCATCCCTTTGGGTTGAGAGGATTGTGTGTGACTGACTTCTATCCCAAAGAGTGCCAGTATTGTATGTATAACTGACCTCCATTCCATTGAGAATGAGATAGGCATGACTAACCCATCCCCTTGGGTGGGAAGGTTGTGTGTAACTGAGCTATCTTATTGGGAGGTGGGTGAGAGGTGAGTGAGATTAAACTCCTTTTCATTGGGTGAGAGAAGGGTTGACTGAACTCTATACCATTGGATGAATTGGGTGATGGTATAACTGAACTCCATTCTTACTGGGTGGGAAGGGGGTGGTAAATGAACTCCATTCTTACTGGTTGAAAGAGGGGTGTGTGTGACTGACCATTATGCTATTGGACAAGAGTGGGGTCTGTGTGTGTGTATGTGTGTGTGTGTGTGTGTGTGTGTGTGTTGTATGTATGTATGTATATGGAGGTGTGTGAGAATGAGCTCCATTCCATTGGGTAATAAGAAGGTTATGATTTAGCTCCATCCTACTGGTGGGGACAGGGGGAAAATTACTGAGGTTGCTTTCCCTGGATTCGTTGGGGGCAAAGTTTTGCCCATTCCCCAAACTATGGGTTCAGGCTGAACCTATTCCCAAGCTAATTTCTTCTTACTTTAGGCCACCATGAGTTTATCTGCAGATCAGCCCTCCCTTTCATTCTTGCCCTTATGGTCCCCAGCTTGGTGTTTTCTTCTGTTTTCAGTGGGACCCTTATCTGATACTTGTCCTTTGTTCTTAAACCCCCCCCACCACCACCATTCATCCTCTGTCTAGTGTCTTCCTTCTCTGGTTCCAGTCCCTCTTCTTTTGCTTTGCTACCAGCTATGTCTCCTTTGCCCCCCTCCCATCCTCCAACCCTTTAGCTTTTCTCCTGCTATAAAACTGGTTCCTTTCTACCTTCTTTCTCCCCATCCTGCGCGGTCCCTCTATTCGCCTTCTCCATCCCTCTATCCTTTCTCGCCTTTCCATTACTGGCTTATGCTCCCACCCCCAGATTGTTCCCCAAGGGCCTGGTCTCCTCCCCCCTGGCCAAAGGCAGCTGGCGGGCTGGCTCCTTCCCCAGGGGCCCCCCTGGCCTGGCCCGGGCTCTGGCCCGAGCCCCAGGCCCCAAGCCCCATCTCCCGCCCCTGGCCCTCCCGCTCCTCCCCCAATGATGTCACGTCCCCGGCCGCCCCTCGGCCCGGCCGCCCCGCCCCCGCCCCCCTCCCACCCCCCAGTCCCCTGGGCCCGGCGCTCCCTCTCCCTCCCTCCTCCCTCCTCCCTCCCTGCTCCCCCGGGGGCGGCGGCGGCGGCGGCGGCGGCGGCGGCGGCGGCGGGATGGCCCGGGCCCGCGGCCAGGCCCCCGGG